TTCAATTGCTGTATTGTTTTAACAGGTATGCTTTAATTTTAATTTATTTTAATTTATGGATCTATAGCTCAATGTTTTAACATGAATATTTTGTTTTGTATTTTAATCAATTATTTTTATATGTGATAGTACTCACTGAACTGAATTTCGGCCACCTCTTTTTCTTTTCTTTTTTCTTTTTCCGTTTTGCTGTTCATGACAACCATTGGGTGTTGGCACCCACTGCATGTTTATCAAAATATGAGTACCAGCACCTTATGATTTTGTTTTGTTTTTAACCCAAAAAAAGCACTGCTTTAAATTATGGTTCTTTACATTTTAATTTTCTGTGTAACTAGTTTTTTATACTTTATGCTAGTTTTTTAAAGTGCTTAGGAGCCTATTTTTTGCAGTGGGAGGTGTTAACAATAACAACAACAACAATAATGATAACACAGCTTTCCTTATTCAGTTCATTTTTGGTTTTTTGGTAAGGCACATGCTTGCAGTCACTCTTTGTTGCTTACAAACAGATGCCCCCTTTTCCCTCAAGTGTTTGAAAGTGAAGGACTGTTTTGAGTTAATCTGCACATCCAATTCTGCCTTCACACAAACACATGGAGAACAGGCAGAATTTTGACAGAATTACAAGCCTGGTAGATGAAGGGAACGCAGTGGATGTAGCCTACCTTGATTTCAGCAAGGCATTCGACAAGGTGCCCCATGATATTCTTGTAAAGAAGCTGGTAAAATGCGGTCTTGACTATGCTACCACTCAGTGGATTTGTAACTGGCTGACTGACCGAACCCAAAGGGTGCTCATCAATGGTTCCTCTTCATCCTGGAGAAGAGTGACTAGTGGGGTGCCACAGGGTTCTGTCTTGGGCCCGGTCTTATTCAACATCTTTATCAACGACTTGGATGATGGACTCAAGGGCATCCTGATCAAATTTGCAGATGACACCAAACTGGGAGGGGTGGCTAACACCCCAGAGGACAGGATCACACTTCAAAACGACCTTGACAGATTAGAGAACTGGGCCAAAACAAACAAGATGAACTTTAACAGGGAGAAATGTAAAGTATTGCACTTGGGCAAAAAAAATGAGAGGCACAAATACAAGATGGGTGACACCTGGCTTGAGAGCAGTACATGTGAAAAGGATCTAGGAGTCTTGGTTGACCACAAACTTGACATGAGCCAACAGTGTGATGCGGCAGCTAAAAAAGCCAATGCAATTCTGGGCTGCATCAATAGGAGTATAGCATCTAGATCAAGGGAAGTAATAGTGCCACTGTATTCTGCTCTGGTCAGACCTCACCTGGAGTACTGTGTCCAGTTCTGGGCACCACAGTTCAAGAAGGACACTGACAAACTGGAACGTGTCCAGAGGAGGGCAACCAAAATGGTCAAAGGCCTGGAAACGATGCCTTATGAGGAACGGCTAAGGGAGCTGGGCATGTTTAGCCTGGAGAAGAGGAGGTTAAGGGGTGATATGATAGCCATGTTCAAATATATAAAAGGATGTCACATAGAGGAGGGAGAAAGGTTGTTTTCTGCTGCTCCAGAGAAGCGGACACGGAGCAATGGATCCAAACTACAAGAAAGAAGATTCCACCTAAACATTAGGAAGAACTTCCTGACAGTAAGAGCTGTTTGACAGTGGAATTTGCTGCCAAGGAGTGTGGTGGAGTCTCCTTCTTTGGAGGTCTTTAAGCAGAGGCTTGACAACCATATGTCAGGAGTGCTCTGATGGTGTTTCCTGCTTGGCAGGGGGTTGGACTCGATGGCCCTTGTGGTCTCTTCCAACTCTATGATTCTATGATTCTAGGCAGAGCTCTTGAAACATGAACAGTCCATAACAATGACAAAGAGGCAGCAAGGCCAGCACCTGCTCTGTCTGGCAACTGCAGGGATGATGGAGGACTGAAAACCATTGAGGTTGCAGACCAGAGTAGCCCCACAGCTGCCAGAAATATATATATTTCTTTACCAGAAGATCTTCCTCTGTTTATGAATAACACCCAATGTATAACTCAAAGGCATGAAAGGGCTGGGAAACCTTGAACGATCTTGGGAAATGCAGCTTCCTGTGGGCCACTGGGACATAAACATGCTGCATGAGAAACTGGTAGAATTCATAGAATCATAGAAGGGTAGAGCTGGAAAGGAGCCTGGCTCAAAGGTCATCTAGTCCAAGCCCCTTGCTTTAGTACAGTTCGTTTTGGGGGTCCAATTCAGCCCCCATGGCGGCAGCAGTATATGTCCTTAAAAAAAGCTCAACAACTGTGGTCGGCCCTCACACATGTTCACTTCATCAAATCTGGCCCTCTTTGAAAAAAGTTTGGGCACCCCTGCTTTAGTATAACATAGTTACTGGTGTATCCTAAGGCTTAGTATGTCATGACAACCAATTATCTATTTTAGCCAGTATCCTGTTATGGACAGTTGACAGTATCAGGTGTTATAAAGGAGGTATATAAAACAGCTTACACTCCTTCGGTTTACACCCATTCTACAGGTTAATTAGATCATCATTCACAAAACCATTGTTTAACTAATGGTGAAGTCACAATTAATTGGCTTTTTCCTTTCCTCCCTCCAGGGGATTATGGCACACTGGCAATCCTCCTGAATTCTCTGAGATGGACTGAGCTTGCAGGTCCTGACTCAGCCCACTTGTGTTGATTTCCCCACATTAAAACAAAAACAAAACACAATTCTACAAACTGGTGCTGTCCTAATATTCCTGCCTGCCATCAATTTGTCTAGCTCATTTTCTAATCCAGTTATACAGTTGACCATTAGCATATTCTGGGGCATTCAATTCCAAAGCTCAGCAGTAGTGCTGTATTTTCTAGTTTAAAATCCCTATTTATTTTACATTATGTGTGCATGTGCTCATTTCATCTGATCCAATTCCATGCACAAGGACTGATCCCATTCATAATGGAAGCATTGAGTTCTCCATCTTCTTACCCATCAGTCTTGTTCAACTAGCCCTTCTTGGTTATCACAACCTCTCAAAATCATGATTCCCTTGGGAGAGTTCACAGAGTCCATTCTCACCCTGTAATGTTGCTCTGATAGAGAAAGTCAGGGGCAGGCGAGAGAAGGCTCTTGGGGGATGCCTAGCACAGGAAGCTAGGCATGATTTAGCTCCATGCCATATAACATGCCTGTCCCCAGCTGTTGTCCAGCCTGGGATTCTGGCACAGGAAGCAATGCTCAAGGGACTGATGCCTTCATAGGCTTGTGCTCCCTGGCTGGTGGGTCTCAGAGTCCCTGTATAGAAACCACAGGTAAATGGAGCCTTCTCTTCATGTTGGCTTCTGGAAAACTGGACAACCATGCCACTTACTGGCCAGAGTCACCCAACAGCTGTGGGTAGAGAAGGTCACCCAGCCAAGGAAGCCGGAAGGTTGGGGGGAAAGAAGGCAGAGGACAAGTGTAGGCTCTGGGAGAGCCAGGAGACAACTGGTGCTTGTGCCTCTGAAGCGAGGGGAATCTGGGTGAAGGCATGGTGGGGGCAGGAAGGTGAGTCTGGAGGGACTGGGTCTGACTGGTGTGTCAAACCAGAGAGTCACACATTCTCTGGAGACTTGGAACAAAATTAGACCATGCAGCCTTAAGAACAATCCTGGCTTTTGGTTGTGATCATTCCCTAAGGGAATGGGGAAGTGCAAAATTGTTTCACCAAAAAGCTGAAGGATGAACCCAGACAGTTCCCCTTCCCCTTCATCTTCCATGAGCCTGGGGAGGGGGAAAGGCAGACACAGAGAGAAGCACCTTCCATTTTGCCCAGATAACTCCCTGAAATTCCTCTTCAATTATTCAGACCTCCTCCATACCTTAGCAAGGCCAGCCAACCCAAGATGCAGACTGGGAGGGCAGCCAAATTGGCACTCGTCCCCCGGCTGGCATTTTGACTTCTCAGCCTGATACAGGTTGGGGCTGCAAGACAAATGCTGGTTGTCCATCCCCTCTTTTCTTTTCTTTTCTTTTGGTAAACCGTTTGTGTTAGGAAAACTAAGCACCATTTCTTTCCCACAACTTCAACACACACCAACCTGTTTCACCTGGAAATCTCTCCCCTTTCCTCCTCTTAATGAAAACATGGTCTACAATGACCCTGGGCTGAGTTCACCTCTGGTGCAGGCCAAAGGGGACATAGCCTGGTGGCAATCAAGGTCTACCTGCTGTCTGACACCTTCCTCCCTCTATCCCTTTCTTTGTCACCTCTCACAGCCCTGTCAGACGGCCAATAGATACTCAGCACAGACACAGATGGGGCATGCATCAACAGAAAAGAGCAAAGGGAAAATAAGAAGAGAAAGTGAGGGGGTGATGCAATAGCTGAGGGGGGAATGGATTTTGGGGTGGAATGACAGGTCGGATGAAGAGGTGGAAGAGGGATGGATGGGTGAACTCTAAAGGAAGGTGGGAGCCTGCAAAAGTGAGAACACTGGCGGGAATGAAGAGAGGCACCAGCAGCACATGCACGATAAGGAGCTGCCTGCCTTGTTGTGCGCTGTGACAAAAGAACAGGGGGGGATGGCAGGGTTTAAGAAGCTTTCCAACCTGGTGCCCTCCAGATGTTTGGGCAGTGCTGGCTGGGACCAATGGAAGCCACAGCCTGAAACACCTGGAGGGCACCAGGTTAGCCAGGACTGGGCTGAAGAGCAGCTACCAGTTTGCCAGCTTGCCCTATGCTGGACACAAAGGTGCCACGCAGTGTGGAGACAGTTGGGTGGGGGAAGCCGGCCTGGAGGAAGCATCTGCCACATCTTGGTGCCCCGACACTCGAAGTGGCCAAGGCTGGGGGAGGGGAGAAATAATAGAGATGGTTGGCCCCCTCTGGAGAACTGGGAGCGGTGATGGGGGGGGGAGTAGCTAATCCTTTGTCTCCTTCAGGCAGAAGGAGGAAGGAAGGGTGGATGGATGATGGAGGGATGGAGAGATGGAGGGATAAGCGGGGCGGGAGGGGCGGCTTCCCCATCTCCCCTTGCCAGCTCCTTACCAGTCTGTCCCTGGCTCATCCACCACCAGCAGCACTTTGCTGCGCCCCGAGGACCCTCCGGAGCCGGCGACCCCCCCGACCTGCTCGCTGAAGGTGGCCGCCGCCGCCGCGGTCGTCTGCTTCACGGCGTTGGAGAGGGAGGAGAAGAAGCCCCCGGCCCCGCCGCTGCTGCCCGCGCCCGGGCTGGGGGCCGACGGCGGCCTTTCGGCGGGCGAGACGCTGCCGGGCGAGGGCGAGGTGGCGCTGGGGGGCGGCGGAGGGGGCTGCGGGCGCTGCAGGTCCGTCATGTAGCCGTTGGGCAGGTTGGCCATGAAGTTGCTGTCCGAGAGACGCCTGCGCAGGTAATTCATGTTGGCGCCGGGAGGGGGGTCGCAGGGGGTGGGCGGGGGGGCAGGGGGACTCCTAGGGAGGGGACCGCCTCGAGCGCTGCGTCTCTGGGTGGGGTGGGGTTTGCTAAGTCTTCCAGGTGGGATCCCCACCACCCCCACCCCCGGACGGCTGCTGCGGAGATCTCAGGGGTTGCCCAGCTAAAGGAGGATCCAGAGAACGGTCAGTCTGCCAGGGACTTCTCAAGGGGGGGGGCGACTAACGGGGAGAGGCTCCCTCCCTGCAGCAGATCTGTCTCCTGGAGGGAAGATGAGGCTGCTCTTTTCCTTTTAGCCCTCTGGGATCCTTTGCTTCTGAAGGGATTTGCAGCAGGGATCTCTCTCTCTCTAGCCGGGAAAGGGTCCTCCAAAGCGCTTTCTCGGCGCGCCTGCCTCCTGGGGAAAGGACCTATAGGGAAAGATGGGTGCCCTTGTTCCCCTGCGCGTTGGGAGCGGGAGATCGCTCGAGAGAAAGGAACAGCCAGCCCGGCGCGGCTCCTCCCAAGTCCTTCTGTGAGCCTCAGCAACCAGCCCTGCCCAGTTAAGCGGCTCTCCTGCGCGTGGACTCGCCCAAATGCTTCCCTTCCCCCCTCTGCGGCTGCAGTGGTAGGCGCCTTGCCTCTGCGAAGCGAATCCCGGGGTGGACCATTAGGCGACGGGAGAAGGGGAGGAGCTCTCCTGCTCTCTCCTCCGCCCCCCTCCCTGGCGAGTGTGAATGGTACGGCCCGGTACCCAACAGCGGAGATGCAGGGACAGAGGCAGAAGGATGCTGATGATGCTGTGCTCTCCGGTGGAATTGATGCTGGTGGTGCCACTGCCCTTAATGCTGAGGTTGACGTCATGGTGCCAGTGTCGATGATGTCATGAAGCTGGTGGCAAAGAAATCCCAAAGCTGATTTATATTCCCACTGGTTCCACTGCACTGTAGGATGTATCAATGGATATCGGAATAAGTGGAAAGCCTCCCTTGAGGGCTGCAGGGAATGGGATACAGTCACAGGGAGAGGCGGAAACTTCCCTCATGCCCATATTTTGAACCTTCAATGAATGGGCCAGAGACAGACAGCCAACCACCACCCAGGACTCTCGAGAAAGAAGAGAAATGGGAGGTCTGTTTCCTACCTGCTTGAAGTGGGACCCGGCCGTTATGTGGACTTTTAATTGTAGAATTGTAGAAATGGCATTGGTTGTTTCTAGAGGTAGTTTGATTGTTTGCATTTAATCTTATTTTAGCTTATCAAATGCTTCTGGCATTCTGCCCCTGAATACCAGTTCCTGGGAAGCACCAGTGAGCCAAGTGCTGTTGCTGCATCCATGCCCAGCCTGCAGGCTTCCCACAGGCATCCGATGGACCCCGTGAGAACAGGATGCCATGGACTGATTGGGCCATTGGCCTGATCCAGAAGACTCACCTTGTGTTCTTAAGCAGTTTATCAATCTGTAAAATAAATAAATAACAATTTACCTACAGAGCTATGAAAATAAGCAGAGAAGGGAAATGTGCACACCACCAAGCAAAAAGAAAAAAACAAACCAATAATAATAATAATAATAATAATAATAATAATAATAATTTATACCCTACCCATCTGGCTGGGTTTCCCCAGCCACTCTGGGTGGCTCCCAATAAAATATTAAAAACACAATAAAACATCAAACATTAAAAACACCTTCAGGTATTTTCTAAAAATCAGGTAGTTGTTTATTTCCTTGATATCTGATGGGAGGGCATTCCACAGGGTGGACGCCACTACCGAGAAGGCCCTCTGCCTGGTCCACAGGGGTAGAAGGAAAAAAGGTTCATGGCCCTTGCTTATTCGTTTGTATGTTGCTTACATGGCACTATCAGTGCTTTACAGACCAACATTAGGAAAAAGAAATAATGGTGCCTTCTATTAAGCTCTTAACCTTAAAGACTGTACAGGTATCTAGTTTATCTCAGGCTCACATAACAAGAGGGACCTGTGATTAGCAGGGGCTTTCCAGCATGGCCCCATGCTGCAAAAGCAGATGCAGACACACTCTTCAGGCAAGAAGATGATCATGAGGCATTCAGATGGTTTCTCTCCGTGGCTTCCCAACACAAACTGAAGAGGTTAAGTATGCAGGGTTAAAACTGCATATATTTAAATAATTTTTTTAAAAAAAATTAAAGAGCAAATGTGTAAGGAAAATGAATGCATAGCACAGCCATAAGGTGTGGCTGACAGTAAACAGGGCTAGAATTTTTTCTGTAGGGGAAGGAGAAGCCTCAGGCCCCATCACAGCATTGTTAGTAAAAATGTTTTAAAAGGTTTTTGACTAACTGGGTTCCCCCCGCTTCTGCTGAGTTACCTCTAATGTTTTAGTTTTGGGGGTCTATTTTGAGATTTGTTGCTGAGAATTTTGATAGGAATGGGGAAACTGTTATAGATTTTATTACAGTTGTTATTTTTTATTTTAAAATGAACTGGGGTATACATTTTAAAAATTAAAAAACAATAAATAAAACACACAAGCAGAAGCACTTTACATGCAGCATCATTTCATATGGAACTCTACAAGCACACTGCTGTAGTCTGAGAATTTCCTTGAGGAAGCTGAATGATCCTGGGCAGATAACAAATAAAATGCAGCCTCCTATGTAGCTCACCTGAGAGTAAGCCCCACTGAATATAGATGGGGTTACTTCTAAGTAAACATGTCAAGAACTGGCCTGTTAAAGTAGCAGCCAAGGCATTAAGCTTTGCCTGTGTGTGTGCACATAGTGCTTTACAGGATAATGTTATTTACTCAAAAGTAAATCCTATTGAATTTAAGGGGTATACTCCCAAATAAACAGGATTAGGGTTGCAGCTTAAAAGCCTTAATGAAAAAAGTAAAAAATGGTGACACAAACATTGGCAAAACCACTTCACATATGAATACCTGCAGCAGCAATTCACAGGAAAACACACACAAAGCAGCATTTCACAAACACACATCCATCTGCAATAACTTCCCTTCCCACATCTTCTGTCTTCTGCAGCTGCTGCCTGCTCACTCTGGCAAGGGCCATTTTTCTTTTGGGAATCAGGCTCCATCTGGGAAGCTTTAATCTGGCAGAGATCATGTGCTGAACAACCATAGCAAGAATATAAATAAACGTGCCTTTATGTAGATAACCTATTGCAAATGAAACCTTTGAGACTTTATAATATTAAGAATACACACAGATGTTCACCAAGCCAACACAAAGGGAACCTTTGCAGTACCCTTGAACCTGGCAACTCCAACCTACTAAAAGAGAAAATTAAGATTTAGGCCACATTCACACCAAATGTTTAAAGCACTATGATGTCACTTTTAAAAGTCAAGCCTTCCTCAAAAGCATTCTGTAGTTTGTTAAGGGTGCTGAGAGTTGTTAGGAGATTCCTATTCCCCTCCCAGAGCTACAGTGCTGAAACTGATTGAACAATCAGTCCTTCCCAGGGAATTCTGCAGACTGTAGGTCTGGGAGGGGAAGAGGTGTCTCTGAATAACTTTCAGTGCCTTTAACAAATGACAGCTCTCATAACTGGGAGGAGGGAGCCATGACTTTTTGAAGTGGTATCATACTGCTTTAAAAGTCTAGTATGATGCCACAGTTTGAGGGCCCCCCAAAATGGTAGGAAGCAGGGGACAGCTGCACCAGAAAACAATATTTGAAGCTGCAACACAGCCATTATTTATCAACAGCTTCTGAAATGTGTCCAGATTTTACCCCTTTCCAGGTAGATCAAATTTCAGAAAAAAGCATCTTGATGTTATGATTACTAGAATTTTCAATATTTGTAAGGACAGAATGCTGAAAAGGTGAATGCTTTATAAAGTTTCTCCTGTGGCTTGGCTGTATCATTAGACAAAATTCCCACTGGAGACAACATGATACTAATCTGCCCCTTCTCTCCTGAGTGCCAGAAATGGGGAGGGGGTGAATGAAAGGGCTTAAACAAGCCCATAACATCCCTGGAACTCATAATGGGCAGAGGGCAACTAGAGCACTGCCCCACTAAGCTCAGCCTGCCCTCAGCCTGGCCCACCTGCCTGCCTGCCTTCCTACTCACTAACCAGTCTAAGGGTTGACATTTCCCGCTGGCTTCCTCCTCCTTAGTCTCAGTGTTGCCCTTGTAGATCACAGCAGGGAGGAGGTTGGGGGAGAAACTAGAATTAGTTGACTCAGCCTGGCTCCACCTGCTGTTGGCCTCCCAACCTTCCACTTTAGCAGTTCCTTTTTTAAAAATATTTATTCAAGATTTTAAACATTTATCACCAAACACATATAAACCCATCCCCAAAGTACAATAGACAAAAAAAAACCACACAAAAAAGAAAAACATAGAACAACATCAGAATCAAATCCTTAATATCCATACTTTCTTCACCTTTTTAGACTTCCTCGCGTCTCTTGTTCCTGCATTCCAAATTTATAAAGTTCTATACAGCAAATTATCACCTTGTTTCAATTCCTATCTTGTATTTTTCCAATATTATGTCTCTAGTTTTAACTACATTAACCAAAAGCTTGAATATTTAATTTAGGCATAATATTAACTCGAAAATTTAACTTTTTCTCAAATTTCACCTATTCTCAAATTCCTTTCAACTAGCTTACTGATGCCACATTTATTTATTATTCTTGCATCTTTTCTTAACACTCATACAATTTACAATGTTTTTGTGGGTAATCCTTGAATTTCTTCCAATCCTCTTCCACTGCTTCTTCTCCCAGGTCGCGGATTCTGCCAGACATTTCTTCTAATTCCATATAGTCTATCAGTTGCACCTGCCATTCTTCCAGCATGGGCAAATCTTGGGTTTTCCAATGTTTAGCTATAAGTATCCTTGCTGCTGTTGTTGCATACATAAAAAATGTTAAATCCTTCTTTACCACCCTCTGGCCAACAATGCCCAGAAGCAAGGCCTCTGGTTTCTTAGGAAAGGTATACTTAAATACCTTTTTCAACTCGTTATATATCATTTCCCAGAAAGCCTTAACGCTAGGGCAAGTCCACCAGAGGTGAAAGAACGTTCCTTCAGTTTCTTTACATTTCCAACATTTGTTATCAGGCAGGTGATATATTTTTGCAAGCTTGACTGGGGTCATGTACCACCTGTATATCATTTTCATAATATTTTCTTTTAAGGCATTACATGCCGTAAACTTCACACCGGTGGTCCATAACTTTTCCCAATCAGCAAACATAATATTATACCCAATGTCCTGTGCCCATTTTATCATAGCTGACTTGACCGTTTCATCTTGTGTATTCCATTTTAGCAGCAAGTTATACATTTTTGAAAGAACCTTAGTTTTAGATTCTAACAGTTCTGTTTCTAGCTTCGATTTTTCCACCTGGAATCCTATCTTTTTGTCCAAATTAAAAACCTCTTTGATCTGAGCATAATGTAACCAGTCCCGCACTTTATCTTTTAGTTTCTCCAAACTCTGCAACTTCCAAGACTCTCCATCTTTTTCTAATATTTCCCAATATTTCGGCCATTTGGCCTCCATATTGAGTCTTTTCTGGGCCTTAGCTTCCATTGGTGACAGCCACCTTGGAGTCTTGTTTTCTAATAGATCTTTATATCTTATCCAAACATTAAACAATGCT